TTTTTTTTGGTGAAAATACACATAGCCAAAGATACACCATTTCAAAAATTTCTCCATGCACCGTTCAGTGACATTGACTACGCTCTTCCAATTGTGCTGCTATTCTCACTTAAGATGACGGCTTACAGAACAAAATAGTTTCTCATTTAACAGTTACTACACATGTTGCCCTATGACAATGGTTAACAATGTGATTGTAATTTTATGTTAAAGAGGATTAGCGTGGGATTGTAACACCACATCACATCCCTGATCCAATCAATGTAAAGGGAGTTTCCCTGGGGTGTGGCCTGCACCACCTTTTATCTCTCAAGAGATAAAAGGAAAGAGACATGAGCAGAGAGACAGGGGGACCTCATACCATCAAGAAAGCAGTGCTAGGAGCAGAGCGCATCCTTTGGACTGGGGGTCCCTGCGCAGAGAAGCTCCTAGTCCGGGGGAACACTGAAGAGAAGAAGGCCAACAGAGTGAAAAAGCCTTCCCCTGGAGCTGATGCCGTGAATTTGGACTTTTAGCCTTCTTTAACTGTGAGGAAATAAATTTCTCTTTGTTAAAGCGATCCACTTGTGGTATTTCTGTTGTAGCAGCACTGGATGACTAAGACAAAGAGGAAGTGCTGTTTTGCAAAACAAACTTTTTTTCTTTTATTGTACTTTAGATGAAGGTTTACAGAATAGTTTCTCATTGAACAGTTAGTACACATAATGGTTAACAACCCCACGACATGTCAACACTGTTCCTTCTCAACCTTGGGTTCCCTATTACCAGCTTTCCTGTCCCTCTCCTGCCTTCTAGTCCTTGTCCCTGGAGTGTTGTGCCCCATTAGTCTCCTTTTGTTTTATGGGGCTGTCTAATCTTTGGCTGAAGGGTGAATCTCGGGAGTGACTTCATTACAGAGCTAAAAGGGTGTCCAGGGGCCATACTCTCAGGGTTTCTCCAGTGTCTGTCAGACCAGTTAAGTCTGGTCTTTTTTTGTGAGTTAGAATTTTGCTCTCCATTTTTCTCCAGCTCTGTCTGGGACCCTCTACTGTGATCCTTGTCAGAGCAGTCAGTGGTGGTAGACGGGCACCATCCAGTTGTACTAGACTCAGTCTGGTGGAGGCCATGGTAGTTGTGGTCCATTAGTCCTTTGGACTGATGTTTCCCTTGTATCTTGTTTTCTTCATTTTCCCTTGACAAAGCAAACTTTTAAGAGTTCCAGTATACCAATAGATGGCAGCTTAAGGGGAGTGGGCGATGACAAATCATTGTGACCAGGGCTGGGTCAGGGTCAGGAACCAAAGCAATGCCTGTTCAAAACAGGTGTTTAATGGGAATAGAACATTGGGAGATGAAAACCTGATGAGCACACCGGTACCTTCCCAACACACAAGACTTCATTGAACCCATACAGTGTGCCAGGTGCTGGGCAAGGGCCAGGAGGATACAAAAAAGTTGCTAAGATACTGCCTTCACAGCAGCTACATAAGAAGAGGATTTATCTCCCTGAGAAACCAGAGAGATAAACCACTGTAAGCCAGGGGAGCCTGGAGGCTGTGCGTGAGCTGAAACTGGAAGGATGTGTAAAATTCAGTGAGGGGGACAGGGAGAGCAAGGCAGGGACAGGGAATGGAGGTAAGGCAGAGGCAGAAACCTATGAAGTATTTTCCAGATCACAGAGAGCTTGGCAGGAACAAAGAGTACATACATGGCAATGTCCCAGGTGCCAGCCAGATAACACGTGAATAATTCCAACGACCTGATATGGTGAGCTCCCGATACAGCGAGCTCGTCATTAGTGGCTGAGGGAGACTTT